AGCAGCAGCTGCGCACTAAGTGCTTTACTTTTTCGAGTTGCATTGTGCTCCAGGCTGGGCTGTGGGTTAGACGGTGTGATGAATGGCGTTCTCATCGGTACATTGTGGAATTTCTTTTTTGTGGCTGTTTCCTACTTTCTTTTGTTTTCCTGGGTTGGGGTAATCTTGTTTGCTTGTTTTGCTTGCTTTGCTTGTGGATTCGTGGTTGCTATTGTTGATCATCTTTGTGGGAGGGGGGTGGTGGGAGGATACCTGAGTGTGCTTACTACTGGAGATAGGGAACGAAACAACAATAAGGTGATGAAAGTGGTCTTTTTATTTCCTTGATGTCAACAACTCGTCTTCCTCATGTACTTCCTTTTTCCAATTCCCCCATGCTAACTTTGTATTGTTGGGGCCAATTTGTATGGAGGCGTTTGTATTTTCCTTTGTATTGCTTCATTTTTACGCATAGCGATGTGGACTTGCGGTGTGCTTGTGTGTTTTTTGTCTTTGTTTTTTTGTTTTTCCCCCTTAATTCCCTTTTTTTTCCCCTTCATCTGCAAGGGGATCAGGAGAGGCGGATGCATTGGAGGATAGGGACTTTGTAATGCAAAGAATGGCAGGCATTTTTTTCTTCGTCAGACCGAGGGGAGGGCGAGTGATTCTTTGTGGTCACTATGCACACATCAAGCCAACAACAGTGGCCAACCAAATCTCTTACTCCCTCCTCCCCTCATTAACCTTATAATACTCAGGCGCACACTGCAGCAACCACTCCTTCTCGACCTTGGTGAGATCCCTGATATACGTCTTCTTCCCCGTCTCGACGATTTCATGGAACACTACCCACTCAGCTTTACGATTGAATAGTACGCTGCTGGGGTGCGCCCACAGCTGTGTTTCCCCGCCACCGACGAGCCGGAACGTCCCGTCCGCCCGCATCTGCGCCGCGTGCGCAAAGTACCCACTCACCAAGCACTTCCTAATAGTCTCCGCCGAAGCCGCATCGCAGCTCGTAGACTCGAGGTCCGGGAAGAATCGCAGGAGGTAGCGCCACAGCTGCTGGCGGACCGAGACGGCGCGGGTGAGTGCTTTGTAGTTGAGGCTGTGATCGCGGCACCAGGCGGACGAACGCTTTCCGCGGGTGGTGAAGGCGGTGTAGACGTTTAGCAGGGTTAGATGGTCGCCTTCGTCGACTGCGAACAGGCGCTTTTTGTTCTCGGAGGAGGAGGAGGAGTCGGCGTGCGTGATGAAGACGTTTTGCACGGTCGTCATCGCCGCGATGCTGAGCATCTGCGAAAAGCATCCCAGGGAAACGGAGGCGAGGAGCGTTCGGCTGAGCATGGGATCGAGCGGGAGCTCGGCCATCTGTAGGCCTAGTGGCCGCGTGAGACGCGCGTACTCGTCGAGCGCACCGAGGGAGTACAGTAGTTCCAGTGCGCGCACCACCAGCTCCGCGGGCGGCGCGGCCACGAAGTCGAAGCGCGCGATGTTGTCGATGCCGAGGGCCTTCAGCTGCAGTATGGTGCCCGCAAGATCGGAGCGCTGGATCTCGGCCACGGCCACATCTCCCAACGAGGAATGTGCTTTTTCGGTGTACAGCCGGTAGCATTTTCCGGGGCGGGTGCGGCCCGCGCGGCCCGCGCGCTGCGTGGCGGAGGCTTTGGAGATGGGGATGGCGGTTAGCGTTGAGATGCCCGTCGAGGGGTTGTAGCAGCGCAGCTTCGCGAAGCCGCTGTCGATTACAAAGGCGATTCCGTCGATTGTTACGGACGCTTCGGCAATGTTGGTGGACAGGATTACTTTCCGGTGGTTTTCAGGTGCCGGGTCGAAGACGGCGAGTTGCTGTGCGAGGGAGAGGCCTGCGTAGAGTGGGAGGGGAAGGAGCTGCGGTGCCCGGGGATGCAGGTCCGAGGACCGCTCGGTTATGGTGCGGACTGCGCGTTCGATTTCTTCGCGGCCAGTGAGGAAGACGAGGATATCGCCTTCTCCTTCCTGTGGGTGTGTTCAGCATCCTATCCTGTATGTTGTTGCCCCCAGGAGTGGTAGGTAATACCTTAAGGTGGATATCAAAAACCGTCTGCACCGCCTTTTCAACGTAGTCCTCGGTTGGCTCCTCGAGGTACAAGCAATCCACTGGGAAATGTCTCCCCTCAACGCCGACAATCGTAGCCACGCCCTCCTCCCCCTCGGCAAAGAACCGCAAAAACTCCTCCGCCTGCAACGTCGCCGAGGATATCACCAGCCGCAAATCCTTCCGCTTCTTCCGTATCTTTTTTAGCACCCCAAGGAGAATATCCGTGCTTAGCGACCGCTCGTGCGCTTCGTCCACCATTATCACACTGTACCGGCTCAGCAGCGGGTCCACCAACGCTTCTCGCAGCAGCATTCCGTCCGTCATGTACTTCACCCTTGTCTGCGGGCCCGTCATATCCTCAAAGCGGATCGAGTACCCTACCTATCCCGCCATCAGATCAGCCCAGCACCATCAACACCAACACCAAGAACCCAAACGACCAACCTCATCGCCCACAGCCACTCCCATCTCCTCCGCCACCCTCAACGCAACAGTAGTAGCAGCCACTCTCCGTGGCTGCGTGCACGCAACCATCTTCCCATCCCTCGTGAATGCGCCCCCGCATGAGTGCAGGTATTGCGGCAGCTGCGTGGTTTTGCCAGAGCCTGTCTCGCCGATTAGGATGGTGACGGGATAGGTGGAGACGGCATAGAGCAGAGATCGCTTGTGTGCTGCTATCGGAAGCGAAGTCGACGGACGGTAAAAGCCTGGCGCGCCGCTGGGAATGAATTCTTCCGCTTCGGTGAGCCGGTCGAGTGACGCCATTTGTGGTGCACGCGTGTGGAAAAGATGGCATGATGTCGTGAAACTGGCGCGGGGACACGTGACGAGGCACGTGTGTCGGCTGTTCCGCACTGAATCCGCAATAGAGCTGGTATAATATTACCAAGCCTGAGTCTTGAAGTTCGAATCTTCCGCGGCGAAACTTCAGCAAATTTACAAATTTAAACAGTGGAACAAAACTCAGAGCAAGCGAGCGAAACGAAATATCTTCAAGTTGCAGGTCGATATTCACCATGCTAGAAGGCAGACGTCTCTAGCTAGTATAACCTCACAGAGCGAGGTTTTCTAGTCCAGTTTATCAGCTCTATTCCGTAACTTCCGTGGCATAGGTGGGCATTCGGGTATCGTAACTCGTAAACGTACATGACCTTTCGCTTGAGCTCGCCGGTGTGATCCAGCAGAAATAAAAAGCAAAAGGGGATTCCCATGTGGTCACCCACCATAGTACTACCCTCGCGATACCGTGCTCAGCTGAGCGGACGGGAAGCCGTGTTTTCAAGATTCTGGAACTGTTTTTCAACGTCCTTGGTGACTGTTTTCAGAGTCCCCATCCGGGCTCCGTTTTGGACTTCATGATCCTTTTTAACCCTGCCATTAGCTTGAATGTTTCCACTTTTCGTTTTCATCGAAAAGTTGGGACGCAGGCACATTGCTCATTCAATTAGGCCACACCCCCCCTCGTTTACGGTCAGCAACTGGACGCATTACGCTCTTACACAGAAAGCTTCTTCTTCTACCTGAGCACTTCTCTGCAGAACTCCAGGCTAAGCAGGCTAGCGAACCGTACAATTTTTGACAACGCTACCCTCGCGGATCGTGAGGACCAGGAGCAAGGTTCCCCCGCGCAAACTGTCCATTTAACCATAGAAAGACGCCCAGGAGATATCACGATCACGACGAACGCGCCCATCAAAATAACAGTGACGGAATCCCAGCACCTGAGGCAAGAAGCAGCGGGTGGGCCACATAGCGCAGCACTAAGTACCCAGTGCCACCAGGTATGGTGCAGGCAGCTATAGACCTAGTCGTCGCACGGATATTTTCGTCGGAAAGTAAGCAGCGGACACGGTGTAGATGGTGGTCAAAGGGTACGAAGTGGTGGGGACCAAAGTTCAGAGCGAACGCTGGGACCAGGCGCGCCATCTGCGCCTGGACCGTGACCCCAATAATCAATTTATTGCCCATCTGCGCCTGGCTCTCGCTGTGAGACCCGCCGGTGACTGGTATAGACTCGCGCTTTGTACTCCTCGTCTCCAAAGGTGGCGCCTTCCCTATATGCCTGGATAATACGCTGAGTTCGTCGCCAGCACTTGAAAATAAGCGATGGCTTCACAGACTCCAGAGCTTCTGGGACCGCTTCCTTAAGACCTGATGGTTCCAGCAGTTAGCTGAGTATCATGGCATTACCGGCCCGGGGCCTGCCTGAGCTGAGGGTTAAATACCAACGAGAGTGTATTTGCAGTGCTTTCGAGCATAGTGCTTGCACGCGCCCCAGTAATATTCAATCCAGTTAAGTTCACAGTGGAACTTAGGATAGAACATTACAAGATGCCCCGCATCCTCAACAATCTCCTCAATGCGACTGCGCTGGCCTTTAAAGTCAGGCTGCGCCGAGAGGATAGCTGCTGCGCAACAGGTGCGACCCTCAAGGCCATCAGCACAGACGGGGTTTTTGATCCTCTTGGTCTTTTGGCCGGGAGTGGGGTCTGGTATGTAGCACTGTTGCCGGAGTCCTAAGGGGAAAAAAAATCAGCGGTGGTCTCTTCAGCGGCGTGGACTCAGGGAGTACGTACCTTCCCGCCATAGTCCTCTCTCACGGAGAACCTGCTCCATCCCTTTGGCGACCTTCAAACACCTTCTCCCCTCTTCTCATGATGTGCGTTTTCTGATTGTGACGGCGGTTGTATAAAGAAGTGGAACGTGGCGACTAGGCTAGGTGCTTGAGGATCCAATAATCCAACCTTTATAATGGTAGAGGAAAGATCCAAGTGGCTGTTGACATCAGGAAGGGTGGAACTTGTGAGAGGCGCCGTCGGGTACAAAAGCTACGGGCTCGAGTTCCGAGGCAAGAACCCCGTCATCGAGTGTAGAAGTATGAAAAGTAGACGACGCTATATCAGCTCAAACCCCCCCATATTCATATCCCCTCGATAAAAATTCCCCTATGGCGCAAGTGGTAAGAGTTGCCTACGTCACAGGCGTGCTTCCGGTTCGAATCCGGCCATGGGGGGGGTTTCTCCTCTTCGCCCTGCGTGCCCTCTTGGGCCCGGGCGGAAGGTTTTGTTCCTGGGGCGTACATCGAGGACGCGTGTTTGTTTGGCTTTTTCTACGCTAATTGTTGATTTTCCAGCTTTAAACCATATATTTTCAGCACGTTTTGCCGGTGAACTATCTCTCCGGCGTTAGACACTTTCCTTGCACAGCCCAATCACAACGTCTAACGCCCCTAAAACGTCACAGGAGCATCGGATATGCTGTGGAGACGCTCCACCATCAGAGACCATCTCGTCACTCACTAATCCAACTCTCCAATACAATCAGCATCCCTACTCTTCATTCCCATCCCATCCCTCCTTCTTCAGGTTCCGGCATGGTCCTTTCACTTCTACATCCGCCTTCACTACATGTTGTAACGTTTTTCGGTAGATGGGCTGTGTGGAACTTGCCCCCGTCTTCTATATTCGGGCGGAACAAACTCAGAATGGGTGAACGTCAAATTCATCTTTCCACACCCCCCGAACTCAACACCTACATATTTTCTCTGTTGTAAACTCTTTGTTTAGATCCCAAGCGATTTGGACTTTCTGTCATTTGAGGCTGAGGCCCATAACGGCACGGTGCTTTGTTTCGGGCTCACCGCGCCTTTTCGCGGGTAGTCGTGGCAAACAGGAAAGAAGTCTTGAGACACGAGTCGTTATTCCAGGCACCGTCATGGGAGACTCCAGGGCAGGCGATAGTTACTCTTCGTTATCCTGATGAAGTGGCCGTAGGCCACACACAACTGTCATCAATCATGACCAACACGCACGAGTGATAGATCATTTCAACAGACGAGACGCGAATACCTTTGAGAAGGAGCCGGAGTGATTTTGTGGATTGATAGATATTGCAATGTGAAGGAGCGACTTCCTGTGGATAGATCTGGAAGTCGATCCCATCTCAACGACGGCCATAGACTTCCAGATTATGTCCACACGAAAAGAATGTATCTCTCACTCGAGGCAACCGCCACAAGAAGACGGCAGCCAGATACTGAGAGTTCGCCTCCTCGCCTTGTAAGGGAGGAGGCGAATGTGTATTCTAGGCTTATGAAATTTTACTTTTTGACTTCACCGATCATTGAAGGACCGACAAAGCTTCGAAAGTGCCAATTCGTGTTTGATATCGATATCGTGAAAGGAAAAAGAAGCAGATTCTGAGGATAATCGTTTATTCGCGGTCTATGTACATGATATCTAATCGTCGTGGTGGTGGTGGTGGCGGTAACGTGGAAAGAGGTTGAAGTCAAGGTGACGAACGAAAAAGTTTGTGAGAATTGCGGCTTTTATCCTCGCACAAGTCTTGGCGGGGCTAATTTACGCCGACACACCCGCTCCGCGTCGCGTCTTCCCCAACCTAAGCCTCATCCACCAACGACAAGTCGCGACCATGGCCACCACCAACCCAGACGAAATACAGCTCGACCTTACGCAGGCAGAAGTATGGGATGATTCAACGCTGGTAGAGGCGTGGGACGAGGCGTTGACTGAGTACAAAGTATACCATTCCTCATTGGTTATTGCTGTTTTTGAGGTGTTGGGCTTGGATGTGCGCTGATACGTGCGCTAGAAATACCACAGTATTGCGGTTACGGGAGAGGATAAAGAGGCTTTGATGAAAGCTGTGGAAGAGGGCCGAGACATTGCCCCGAAGGAGCCGCCGAAGGAGGAGGTGATGACGGATGCGCCCGCCACTGCACCCGAAACCGATAACCCTGAGACAGCTACGACTGAGGAGCAGCCTGTAGTCGAAGAAGACAAGCTTTTAGTCGAGAACTTTGATGTGCAGAACAAGGGCATCACCGAAGACAAGGCGCCAGAAGAACCTATTTCTGAATCGCCTGCGCCAACAGAGCAGCAGCAACAGACTGCGTTTCCATTCGCGCAGATGCACCCTGCTGGACCTGCTGAAGGGTATGCTATCGGTGGAAGTAAGCTTTTCGTCCTCTAGATAATGTACGAGGATGGAACGCTGACTTTCGCAGATGACGTGTCTATGAGGAATCTCATGATGGCGTGGTACTGGGCCGGCTACTATACCGGCCTTCGCGAAGGACAGCAGAAGGCCATGGAACATCAGCAGCAACAGCAACAGTAGTCAAACAACCGAGTGCCTAGTGTGATAATGGTGAAGTCGTTAAACAACCCGATACCCCTCTTTAATCGGTTGGCGACAACATCAAACGAGGCTACTAGATGAAGTAATGGGAAGAAGACGAAACAATCCAACTGGCTGTGCAGAAAACTACCTTGGTACATTGCGCGGTGTTTAGCAAATGGTGAGGGCTACCGGTCTTGCCGTATTTTTTCTCTTCTAGGCCATGTAATTGATGCTTGTAGAGCGCACTCCTACATTTAGAATACCGATATCTATTTCAAGGATTGTCCAGAAAATGTACAAGGTTTTTCGTAAGGGATTGACAACTTGGTGGCTCGTTGGCCTCGCTTGTCGACCCAGAATCGGGAGTTCTGGCCGCCGCATTTTCACAAGGCTAGCCATGTCTTTTAACCGTCATTTGGTGCATAGCCCGAAGCGACTGCATTCGCACCACGCTGGTGGTTGTTTCTATCGCGTTTGACGTTTGCTGGGACCAGGGGTGAAGACGTTGGAAATATCCCGTTTAGGCGCTGGTGACTCAGCCCAAACGCCAACAAGCTTTCTGACACAACGCCAGAAACACATCATGATACATACAAGTCTCGACTACGCAGATCTCTTCGTCCAATGTTAGGAAGCTATCTCGATTATGTCCTCGGATGGCGCTCTGGTCCTGGATCTTGCCTGCAGTCTAATTCAGACCTACCATTTTGGGAGCGGACCATGGATTCGTGCTAGGCCTCGCCGCAGGTGTCCTGTGGACATGCTCTGTGACAGTACAGAAATTTGGAATCGCTTGTGCGGTATCTACAAGGGCCGGATTTCTCTTGGGGAAGTCGATGAATATAAACACATCTGGCACCAAGAGGTTTCCTTTTTCCCTTCGCTACCTCTTACCCCATCTCCAATCCAGCCTCTCTTGAGAGCCCATCCTCCTGGTTTCCTTTTTTCTGCCTTCTTCAACATCGAGTCAGAGACTTCGATCCGTTCACTTCTTAATTCGTTGACGAATTACCGTAATATCACATTTCCCTCTTTCCCGCTGAGCGGAGTTTTTGCTTTTGGTTTCCTTTCTTCTTACTACCGAGTAATACATTATCCATCATGAAGCTGTCTACAACACTCTCACTCCTCTCTACCGCCGGCAGCGCCTGGGCTACACCACGTGTGGTCGAAATCCTCGGAAACGGCGGGTACGGAATGCCCAATGACGCAGCGATGATGGAGACCACAACGGCGGCGGGCATGATGATGGAGACCAGCACTATGATGCACGACGCGGCCATGGCCACAGGAGCGCCAGCAAACATGATGACCACTACCGCGGCAATGATGGAAGCAACAACTCCACTCATGAACGAAATCGCCATGACCACCTCTGCGGCAATGATGACGGACACCACCGCTATGATGGCGGACACCGCTATGATGGCAGACACAACCACCATGATGGACTCCGCCCCGATGATGTCGGATACCCCCATGGCTGCTGCTATGACCCATACCGTATGTTTCCTCCCTCCTTCCAACCACAACTCAATCTAACAGTGGTAGGTCATGGTCGGCGGCACTGCAGGGCTAGTCTACACCCCCAGCGAAGTCCAAGCCGCCGTCGGCGACGTCGTTCACTTCGTCATGCTCGCGAAGAACCACACAGTAACACAAAGCACCTTCGACAAGCCCTGCGTCAAGATGGCGGGGGGACAAGACAGCGGGTTCCTCCCGAACATGGCGGGTACCGCCGCAGACGCACCGACGTTCCAAGTCACGGTCGCGGCCACCACACCCACGTGGTGGTACTGCAAGCAGAAAGTCGGCACCCACTGCGGGAAGGGCATGGTTTTCGCCATCAACCCCACGGCGGAAAAAAGCTTTGCCACGTTCCAACAGATGGCGATCCAGCAGAACGGGACCGCGGCGGGCACGGGAAGTAGCAGTTCTACTGCTGTGGCTGGCTCTCCCGTCACGTTGACGGTTGATAACAGCGGCTTGAGTACTATGGTCACGAGCACTACCGCCGCTATGGCGACGATGCCCGCGGCTACTATGATCGCGCCTGGATGGAATAACAACGGCAATGCGGGCGCCTGCAGCTGCGCTTGCTTCTGTGGCGTGGGAGCATTCCCGGCCGGCGACGGCGTTGGGGCTTACGGCGGGTATGCGGGCAGCATGCCGGCGCCGTGGAGTGGTTAGAAGCAAGCGTCGTTGTGTGCAACGTGTTTGCTTTTTTTTTTGTATTCATAGTCTAATGTCTTCTTTGGGTGGTTGAGGTGTTTTTTTTGTTTCTCTTAAGCTTCTTCTTTTTGTCATATACTCTACTTGGCTAAAATATTCTGCGGCGCAGATGGGGGGGGGGGGGGCGGCAGCGGCGGAGGGGATTGTTTTGTAAATGTACTTACCCTAGCAGAGGCCGTTTTGAAAAATGATCATCTGAGCGTTACATGGCCCTTACAATTTCTGTGATATAGCCAAAAATTCCCCCCCCGTATGTATTATAACTAAGGGGTAGGTTGGAAAGCTTATAGCTAGCCAGCCCTCTCATCCACCACCGTCGAAGTCGTGCACCTCGCCTCCCGCAACAGGCGACACCACACTACCAGTACTCGTGGCAGAACTGCAGCTTCTTACTATTTACTCTAGAAAAAGTAAAAAAAAAAAAAAGGATACATGAGATTTCATCAAGAGTGAGAAGTTAGTTAGTTAGTGATCACCTTCCAGCGTAAAAATAAGTGGGCTGGTCTATCGCTACCATATATAGAGCCAACAACCATAGAACAGACATATCGGGCCTCTGCGTTCAGATTGCTTTCATTTCATCTATCGAGTGATCCCTCATGACCCATCCCTCCCACTCACACTCACTCACAGATGCAGGC